TTGACCATTTTTGGGTTAAGAAACATGGCTGCGGTGGTGGTAGGGAAGGGGGGTGGGGGCCCCCCCCCCCCCCTGCTATTTACATTAAAGGCAATTCCCTTTTAAGCAAACAGTTATGACTGTGGCTGCAGAGTTTGTCTGCATGGTAAGCATATTTTGCATAGTATTGCCACAATTTGTAATAGCAATGACTATAATATTTTACAGTGAAACCTCTAGTAAGCGGACCCCCAATTAAGCAGACACCCTGTCTTAAGCGGACACTAAGCCGGGTCCCGAAACGGACGTCTAATATTTCCCTTTATAACAAACCCCTATTCAGCGGACACCTCTATTAAGCGGAAGCGGACACTAAAATAAGTTGTATTTGGCCTAAATTTCTATTATTAAAAACCTCTATTAAGCAGACACCGGTCTGAATTGACAATAGAAATATTGGATTATGTCCTTGAAATACGTATTGAAGTCAGTTAATGTTTTTGCATTTACAAACAAATTAAAGTTGGTAATGAAAGGTAATGAACTTGAACTCTTGATAGCTTCTTTAACAACATGCAACTTTTTCACAGTACAGAGTAACCGTTAAATGTTGATCGTTGACAAACGTCCAATTTTTAAAACCTCTATTAAGTGGACACCCTCTATTAAGTAAACACTTGGGAAGGTGCCGAAGGTGCCCGCTTAATACAGGTTTCACTGTAATAATTTATCGATACAATAATGTATTCTGAACATATCACTCATGTTCTTAAACTACTATTGTAAATAGTAAGCATTAACATGTATGACATTTAGTTTGCACAGAACTTGAGCAGGGGAAAAATCCCAATTTCCATCAGGTACTGTACAGAACATCTGTTAACCGACACCTCCTATAAGCTTACATGCACGTCTTATTAACAGACACTAATCTGGGTAATCTATGTTAAAAATCTGCATTAATCCAAACTATTGTAAGTAAAGACATCTTTTCTTGGTAACAAACATCCACACAGATCGGTCAAATCAGACCTAAAATTCTTTGCAGAGTAGTTGCCCACATGATAGATCATAGCTATAGCAAATAATCCTCTCTCTATGGCAGTGGCGGATTTAGGGGAGGTGCCCGGGGGGCTCGTGGCCCCCCTTATTTTAGACCAAGCTGAGGCCCGAAGAGCCGAAAAAAATCTTTTTGGAGACGGCCCCCCCTTATCTCAGGGTCTGATGACCGGGCCCGCTCTAATATGAAGGCCTGGATCTGCCACTGTACGGAGCACTTCG